TGATTCAAGTGTTCCTTTAATTTTTTTTGAGTAGTGTATTTCTATGTATCTGTATTTCTATGTATATGTATGTTTCTTTATCTGTATGAATCTGTAGTTATATGTATCTGTATATATCTGCATGTATCTCTGTGTATCTGTAAGTCTGTATCTGTATGTATATGTATCTATATGTATCTGTATGTTTGTCTATGTATATGTATATGTATATCTGTATCTGCATGTATCTGTGTCTGCATCAGTATGTATCTTTATCTGTACCTGTATCTGTATGTACCTCAATGTCTATATCTGTGTGCATATGTATCTGTCTGTATCTGTATCGGTATGTCTGTATCTGTATGTATCTGTATGATGTATGATCTGTATGATGGCTTACAGCTGAAACATGCTCGCTGTGAGACTGCTGAATGCTTTTGCATAAACCAGTCTAACCTGTGAAGAACACAGTCGTCACATTTTTGTGAGAGAAATCTTTGTTCAGTCAGGAAGATGGAGGGCCAACCTGAACTGTTCAACATGGCTTTAACCACACAGTCAAACAAGATAAAGTCTTTATTATCTGAGCTGAAGACGTGTGAATTTTTAAATTTACAGCAGATCTGTTTGGAGCATTATCAGACAACAAGTATCATCACCAGAGTAAAATGTTTGCTGGTAAACAGCTGGTAATCAGTTGTAGATCAGTGTCTGTAAAACTAATGAGACTGTTGATCTGTAAAGCTTCATACATTTTCAAACAAGTTATTATTCATGGCTGAATAAATGTCATTCAGCTTCAGTCAGGTCTACAGCACCATCTGGTGTTAAATATCCGACATCACATGCCAACTGAGCCTGGCTGCACTACAATCTATTTTTCTTCATCTGGAAAAGTTTTTTGTGTTCAATTTTCTAATAAACATAAAGGTCCTTTGTGGCAAAAAAAAAGAAACAAAAACTGCTCCCTCCTGTTGTCCACACAAAAAGTTAAGTTTAAACCTAAACTAAATAAATGACTCTTGTTGAGACTCTGCTCTTGATTGATGCATCTTATGTACAGACTGAAGGTTTCTTTACACTGTGATACAGTGACCTAGAGATCTAACCTTTAACCTAGAGATCAGTGTTTGGCTCATCACTTTTACATATATGTCTATAACTTTATATTCTCACAATAAGATCCAGTAACTGAAATAAAAATTCACAAATAAGATTTCTGAGATGAACTTCCCTCTGAAATAGTATGTTAGGACACCAATAATGACAGTGTGGCAGCTGCACAGCAATACAGCCATGTATCAGGTGCATAGTTGTAGCTATGTAAACAGAACAACTGAAACATGCTCGCTGTGAGACTGCTGAATTCTTTTGCACAAACCAGTCTAACCAGTCAAGAAAACAGTCGTCACATTTTTGTGAGACATTGAATCATCGCCAAAGTAAAAAGTATCTGCTGGTAAAAACCACAACATTCCTGCAACCGGTTTCTATCACACAACAGTGGAATCCAACCATGTCTGACTGCTGGCCACACATCAGTGACAGTGATGTCCCAGCCTTCATTTCACCAACACTGCCGTAGAATACAGAGTTTGCCAGCTACATTTAACTTTCTAACAAAACAGGATTCAGAGAAAACACAGTGACACACTCTTCTTAAAGTGAGATTTTATAGAAATTCAAGCTTATTTTTCATTTTAAAGATTTGTTGAATACAAAGCTTCAAATATCTACACATGTAGAACTTCTCACATTTCTTAGAAGTAAAAGTTGAACTAATTCAAACTTTCTAATAAAACAGTGGAACTTGCTTCAGAGGATACAGAAAAAAACAGTGATCATATGATGAACTGGTTCAGGTGATGATGTGTGCTGTCGTCAGGCAGGGTAGATCCAGATCTCATTGTGGTGAGTAATAGATAAATAGGAGTCATAGCCAGCTCCAGTATAAGTGTGGGGATCAAAGGTTTTCCCAGCTTTGTCCAAAGCTTCTTGGAGCATCTTCGCGTTGGTTTCACCGCTGCTGATACTTGGTGTTCCTGCAAATATCCTTTAATATGACAAGGAAACAATGACATAATAACAGTAGAACCACAGTTAGTGTCAGATGACATCAAAACCATTATTCACTGAGAGATCTGAGCTGGTGTGTCCACTCCCTCTGTCTCTATGTTTCCGATGTTACAGGACATTCTGGTAGATATGTCTAACCAGTGGCTGGTGTCTGGTGGCTGGTTAGTTTCATACAATCTGTAATCCCCCTCCTGGGGCTGACTCCCCCACCCCCACCTCACCTCACCTCACTTATGCATTTTCTTCATGGGTAGATTTTATCAAAAACATAGAGACATTGATCTGAGAGATAATTGTAGCCACTGGTCACCTGACGTAGACGGTGGCCTCAGGTCTACTCTGCACTGTGACTGATGGATCAGTGTTTTCAGGCTTTGTCGTACCCGGCGGAACAAACCAGGACATTGACAGATCAGGACCGTTCTCACCCTCTGAGACAGTGATCAGTGCCGGCCAGGTGTTAGTGGGGATCTCATTACCTGAGAGAGACCAACATGAAACAACACAGTGCTGAGGAGCTGTACACAACTATACAACACTAAAAGAAGACTAAAGATGTTTTCAGAAAACCACACAGTAGTTTGTCTTGCAACTGTTACAAAACCTGTAAGAAATTAAAGAGTTTCTCAAAAGTTGTGCACATTCAAAGATTTCTTTGAATTGAAGTCAGACTATACTTTATGTTTTTCAGATTTCCTGGGGACAAAACCTTTTTAAAGATTTGATGAATTCAAAGCTTTAAACTTCTAAACCTGAAGAACTTTCAGCACATTTCTTAGTAGTAAAAGTTGAACTAATTCAGAGATTTCTCTGACACAACACAACTGTAATACTACCTGACACTGAAATAAAGTGTAGTTTTGAGCTTCTCACACCTATTTGTGTGTAAATTGGTGTACTACAACAGTACTTTATTTGTGTGGATTGTTAATTAATAATTTTCTGTATGTCTCCATTTAATCAAGTCTTGATTGATTTGCTTCAGTGGAGACACAGGGACAAGAACAGTGTTATTATCCCAGTTTTACTTATTTAACATGAGTTATATGTTCACATTACCTATTAGCATCACCAAACCACTGCAAAGTGAAACTGGTTCTGGACCCTGACGTACCTGCTTCCTTCTGTCTCTGGCAGTAATGCTTCAGTCTGGAGTAAGCAGCCATCACGTCACTGTCCTCAGGGCTGTCTACCTTGGTGGTGATCCAGTCAGTGGCAACATACAGACGCTCCTCAAAACCCTGTACAAAGCAGAACCACAGAGCTGTCTCTCCATATAGAACAGGAGCAGACCACTGACCAGAGTGTGGATGGCTCTGAAACGTACCTGATGTGAACCAACCACCTGGTACTGAGGACATTGTTGCTGATGACAGAAGTCTGGAGCCTCCCAGCCTCTGCAGGACCACACCAGGACCAGAACTATGAGCACGGACAGAGACTGTTCCATTCTCCTCACACCTGCTGCTTCAGGCTGAATGATGTCATAGCTCCAGTTACATGTTAATCAGGTCACACACATGCCCACATTGTTCCTCCTCCAGGAAGCAGAACGAGGAGTTCACTTTATCACAGTCACTACTGCACATAGTTTAACACAGGTCTTTATGGAAAAACATAGATATATGACAAATGTTTGAGATGTTATGTATACATTATATGTATACATAATAAGAATGTTTTCTTGACACATCAGTTCAGTGAGAATAGTTATGAGGTTACTGTTACACTGAGGAGAAGTCTGAGGTTTTCACAGCAGGGATTCAGCTGGGCCATGCTAACTGCTAATAAGATGAGGCTAATTTTATCATATGATAAGAGCGTGCACATGTACACAGTGTTCGGTGAAGTGAAGCTCATGTACTCCGGCTGTTATGATATGTGTTGTGTCTTTATTAGTTCGCAACATGTCAGTGAATAGCAGCAGGAATAATACTTTAGGTCTGTGTTAAAACACTGTTGTCATGTTCATTGACAGAATCACTGGTCACTGTAAATGTCCCTGTTTTAAATGGAAGTGAAGGGACAACATCCACAGTAGTTGTTCAGTTTAATGTGATCAGGCTTTAGTCTGACTAAAGCCACATTCACAACTGTCAATCATTTGGACAGTCACATACACTCACTGAGCACTTTATTAGGAAAGTGTGATCATATTCTTTACATTTTACTCTTTCATCTCACAACATATTAATTACTTCATTCATGGTTTTCCTCCTCCACATGAACAGGTTATCTAGGACAGACAGAGAATCAGACTAAGGTGAACAGGCTTTAAGCCATCAGCGGCAACAACAACGTGCTAGCAGTTGGCCATGTCTCCTAGAGAACCAGAGGGTTGGTTCCTAACAACATCTCATGGCTGGTGGACATTTAGGTTTGTGTTGTAAGTAACAAACATCCAATATTGGCACCTGAAATCAAACAATATTCACATAAGTGAAATAAGCTAACTAAATACAATCCATCACTGTGGCCTTTGGACGGCAGGTTTGATGTAGACCAATGTAATGAAATGGAGATGTTGATTAGGACCTTTGAAGTTAGAGATAAGACAGCAAAGCTGTTGCAGAAGAGAAAAAGAGAGTTAGCAGTGCTGGCCTTGTTTCAGGAGCAGGGCAAATGGCTGGGGGAAGCCATGAAGAAGCATGTGAAAGCTGCGGTGACCATGAGAGGATGAGCTGGTCCCCACCCAACACCTCCTCCTCCATATGCCAGCCAAATGCCAGTGAGGAAACTAACTTTACCCATCAGCGGAGCTGACAAGGCTTGCTCAAGCTCGAGCTGGGGAGGAGTAGGAGATCCCGGTCACATGGCCAAAACCTCTGAAGAAGGGGAGGCATGCGTCTGGGTTTTACAAGAAAATCAGGAAAAGTGAAGCAGAGTGTAATCAATGGGATGAGAAATGGCACGAAGAGGATAAAACAAGTGAAGCTGAAGAGGAGCCTCCAGAAAAATCCACTGAGGAGGCTTGTGGACAAAGGGTCAAGAAGAAGATCTCGAGGAGCTCATCAGTTTGTCTGACCAGTTTACTGGACTACTGGTCCCCTATGCTGCATATACTATCAATTGCCTTCAGGAAAGAAAAGGAGAAAGGAATGGTGAATGGAGTGCCCACCTTAACCTTGAGTGGTGGTCTTTTTACATCATCTGTGCTTGAGGACTTGACTGAAATGTACCCCTTGCTTGCCAAAGGCCGGAATCTGCAGTATGCCCCCTGGCCTACAATGGACTTAGATGGCTTAATACAGTGTCTGCCGTTTATACATCAGGGGGCTGGAAAGTGGATAACAGCCTTTGAGGAGGAGACAATTGCTACAATTCTGGGAATGCTTGATCTCAAAGCTATTTCTGGAAAGCATGAAATGGAAGAGATTCTGCACACTGCAGGACTTGATCAGTATGTCAACACCCAGGGGAATGGTGCTGATATCTTAATAGATATCGTAATATGCTGTGGACTGTGCTGAGGGGGCGCTATCCTGACAGAATTCAGCCTGGCAGTATTACCACAGCACCTATCAAAGATGATGAGAGCCCCCAAGCCTATGTTCATGCTACCAGGAAGGAGTGGATCAGGCAGACGGGAACAAGGCCAGATCGAGATGTGTTTCATCAGGTGCACTGTAAAACCTAACAGTACATCTTAATAAAAAAAGTAAGTTAACATAACTTAATCTTGGAAAAAAGTTGGAGTCACTCATTCCCATGAATTTAACCTAACTCAAAAATTAATTGTTGAAGTAATAACTCAGTTGTTTTGAGTTCACTTACATTTTTGGAGCATTTTAAGTATCGTGATATAATTCCAGTTTGTTCCATTGACTCATTTTCTTTAAGTTGACTTTATATCATTACAAAAATGTAAGCCCCGCTGATGAGTTGCTATAATGCTGAGTATGGCTTAGGATTCTTCAATTTTTTGCATTCAAATAATTCTTGATCGTTCTTGAAATGATCTCCCAATGTGTGAGATTTGATGTTAGTCACATAAAAAAACAAGTATTACAATTAGTCATTGACAAAAACTGTATCAGTGAAGGAGTTTTTTGCTATTTGGAGGAAAAAACTCTCACCCCCCCACGGGGTGTGTGCAGTGTTCAAAATACTCAAAAGACCAGTAAATGTCCACACCAAAGAATTTAGTTAAATTTGTTTAGTAAATCTTTTCAACAAGCAATGAACAAATACAAACCATGAACAAATTCTGGATCAGATGTGTATTTCCCTAACCAATAACAAGTGTTGGTCAGTCCACAGTCTGATAACCTAACTTTCCCTGATCCAGTGTATTTATACAGATACAAACAAAGAAATGTGCATGGGTGTTTTGTCGTCTTCTGATTGGCTCTGCTGGCTTCCTCCTTCCCATCTGACTCCGACCCTAAGTGAAACCTAAAACTCAGCGCGCCAAAAAGAAGACAGTTAGTGTTTACACATAAATTACCACTTCTCTACCTCTGTTACCTCCGGCTGCCCCCAACACATGCCCATAGAGTGGTCCTTGTCAGTGGTTGTAAATAGTTTCCTTGAGGCAGATGTTTAAACCACAACTCACCCTTAGCACCTAAATATCCACTAGTATAAATCATTAAACAGTTTTAGGTTTAATAGCCTGAAATATTCCAACATCAGTCACAATTTTAATAATTGAATAATCATATAAGTACATTTTCAAATAAGTAAAGTAAATAAGTAAATTTAAAGTTCAAAATTTAAATTTTATTGTAAATTTAATATTTTGGGTTTTGGACTGTTGGTAGGAAAAACAAGGCATCTGATGATATCACTAAACAATTAATCAAAAAAAGTTAGTTTCCGACCTAAACTTTATTCACTCTTCATTTGTGTTTGGCAAACCCAGTTCGTTGCATCCTGCCCAGAATGTAAACAATGAAGCTGCCGTTCACTTTGGTCTCACTGAGAGAGAGAGAGGAGTTCGGACCAGTTTGCACTCAGCGCTGCAATAACGGAGAAGCTCTGGAGGATCTGCTGCACTCTGGTGTGTTTGTAGATGAAAGAATTGATTTTGCGACTCAGGACACAGATAGGGTTTTGTCTTCCACACGAGGTAAGTTTTTTTTTGTATTGGTGCTTTGCACAGCATGTGTTACTGTTTGTCATGCCGTTTTGAATTGTAAAAGTACATTGTGTGAATGCCGAAACGTGTTAGCTTACTGAGCTGTGCAAACTTTAGGCAGAGCATGCAAGCAGCCCAATTCCTGCTTAAGTGGTTCAGAAAGAAACGTTTCATAACGTTAAGTTACTTGACAGTCGCTGTCAAGTTGGCTGCTGAGTAACATTAGTTTGTGAAAGTTTTATGTTAAAAATGTAACTCTGTTAGTGTAACATAGCTAGAAGAAGCTGAGTAAATCCAGCTAAATGTGGGATAAGCGCCCTCTGTTGTCTATTGAGTGTGTCGCTGAAAAGGGTATGGAAAAAGGGATTGTGGGTAATCCTCAGTGAAAATGAGGATTGAACAAGAGGTAACGTGTCTCACAGTCTCGTGGGAAAAAAGAAAACAAAACTTTGTTTACAGTTGTTGGAGTCCTGTAAAATTAAGATAATACTGTGTATTGATTTGCTTTATGTTTATTATTGATTTTTCCATGCTCTCCGCAACTTCCGCTGTGTTTGTTGTGTATTGTCGCTGAGAGAATCGAGTAGCATGGAGCTAGCAGTATTAGCTTGACACGATGCTGTTTTCTTCTGTAGAGACTGATGTGCCCATGAGAGGAGAAAAGTGTTACTTACCATTGCCCTTCCTGTCATACATGCAGGTATGTGTGAGAATGTTAAAAGACAGCAGATGTGTGTCGTTATGTTGGTTAAAAATTATTTCGTGTTTATTTCATGCTAGCTACTGGTATGTTGAATATAAAAAAAATGTAAAAAGGTAATAGCTAAAAGATGTATAGCATGTATTTTATTTTGAGGTTCGATTTTTTGAATTGTGGTTACATTTACATTTCATATATTGCACATTCACTTTTTATTTTATTCACAGACATTACAGTATAAAAATCTACTATACGATCACCCTAAAAGTATTTTATTTTATTTGTATCACAGTTCCATCTTATTTGTGATGTGAATGAAAATGAGGATTGAACAAGAGAGACTGATGTGCCCATGAGAGAGGAGAAAAGCGTTACTTACCATTGCCCTTCCTGTCATACATGCAGACAATAAACTGGCTGTTACCACGACCAGCAGCTTCAAGTGATTATTTACCGAGAAGACACACCAAAGACGGGTTACATTAGCTCGCTAGCTAATATGCTCATGCCCTTCAAGAGCCACTTAGCTAGTGTGCTTTTTTCTTTCAGTTAGCTACACACTAAAAACTCTTGGGTCAAAAATAACCCATTATGGGTTATTTTTGACCTAACTGCTGGGTTAAAAAGGGACCAACTAATTTCTGGGTTATTTCAACCCAGAAAATTGGGTTGTTGTTTTTGACCCAACT